CGGACGCACGCACGCACACACACACAGAGAGAGAGAGAGAGAGAGAGAGAGAGAGAGAGAGAGAGAGAGAGAGAGAGAGAGAGAGAGAGAGAGAGAGATCTGGTTATCATCGCCAGTTTGTTTCCACCTGTGTACCTATTCTTTGGGGGTGCCATGGGCAAATTGCAGATATACCGGTTCGGAGAAGTATCGTAACAAAAGTACCGGTCTGCCCGCGTACTGTGACAAATACGCAGACAAAGTTGCAAAAATACAGTTTTTCAAAAAGTTTCTAAGCAGATTTAGCGGGCGGATCTACCTTTCACGGCTAATACACCAGCAGTACCTCTTTTTGCAACGGAGGACCCGCCTCCCTTGGAGTGCTTGCCTCAGGCCAGGCGGACGGGCCCTCTGTCACGAAAGGAGGTATCGCCCGGTAAATCTGCTTCGAAACTTTGTGAAAACGGTATTTCTGCAACTTCCCAGGAGGACAAGTATACTTGCCACGATACTTCTCCAAACAGGTATTTCTGCAATTTGCCCAATTGCCATTTCACGACTGATGCTGTGGTTTGATCTCAGTTGCAGAGTTGCTAATATGAAAAAAACGATATTTCTGCAATTTGCCCAATTGCCATTCAGGACTGTTGCTGTGGTTTGATCTCAGTTGTACTATTGCTATGAAAAACGTCGACTTTAGTTTGAGAATGCAGTGTACTGCCGTTCTAAATTATCTGTGCTGTTTCTGATTTCATTGCAGTTCTCTGTCAGGGGCACTTTAGGGGTGCAGACGCGGCTGAGGGAATCCCCAAGCTTTCTGGGCCAAGGTCAAACAAGGGGAAGTGGAAGACGGGCCTGCTTCTTCTAAGCCGATGACAACGAGCGACAGCGACATTAGGTTTGGATATGGAAGAGAGGAAGTAGTGCTCGGAGGTGAAAGAAGTGCACGACGAAGGAGGGAGGGTAGAGAAGATTAGTGGCACAAGAGTGAAGCTGCACAACTCGTTCACAACAAAGAGAATAGACCTGCTGATGGATCAGTGGGAGCATGCCAACATTGCCAAGGGGAGGGAAGAATTGTCAGAGGTTACGCAACGTGGCAAGTTCGTTGGGGTATTATATTTACCCGAACCAAGGACGTGGTCGGAGACCCGTTAGAGAGTGGATGGCTTCACTAGATGGAGAGGAAGGAGGGAGAGGAAGAGAGACGGAATGGGGATTAGGTGTCCGATGCAAAGTCATGCGGAGCAATGGGTAAAAGGGTGGACCTAGGACAGCTCGCGTAGCCATGGATGCTGAGGTTGATCATAGTTTTGCACATACTGGACACGCTTAGTCTACGACTCTACGGCGTAAACGAGCGACGGTAAAAGAGGTCGCGGGACGACAGATTGTGGCAGCCGAGAGCCGGCGTATTGACGCGCAGTTCGCATAGGGATTAGTCATGATACCTTCTGATGCGCGCTAGTGGCGTATTACTTGTCTCTGTTCTAGAGCGGTGCGGTCTTCGGGAAACCAGTTACATATTCTACTGTTCTCCCACTGTTTTTACTGAGAGAAAGTGATTGATCTCGCTTTTCGCTTCCTCCTTTCTTTCTACCCTCACAGATCGTTTTCCCGCTCTTCGATGTCAGTAGCTCCGCAAAGTTGCCGCGTTTATTTCATAGGCCTCTCTTGTGTCTATCGTCTTCACCCGAACACAAAGCACTCTCCGGCAGCTTACGCCAATGATGCGGGTACGGGGTTTTCGGGGGAAATCGGAACGAGGACTTTCATTGAACAGCACAGGGTGAACACAGAAGCGCTGATCCCCCAATTATCACATCAGCCTGCCTCAAGACCAGGGTGCTGTTCTACAGACTGACATCCCTTTCCCGCAGCATATGCACGTGCGAGCTCACTGCGGGCCAGGTTTGAGCGCGGACATGCTTACTCTCTGTTAACCACGATGGTGCACATTCTGAGGGGATAATTGGTAGACGCGTGGGCTCCTTCTACCAATTATCCCCATTTTGAGTGGCTTTGCTTGATTCCTGGGAGCTGAGGTCGGTAGGCAGTTGGTGCGGACTCGTTGAAACTCTCGCCGGGCGAATCGAGGAAGGGAAGACACGCAGGAGGCGGGACCAGAGCCCGGGATGACATGTACCCTTACCGTTGAGGTTGTCCAAAGAGGTCTCTAGTTCCGGGCTCTGGTTGATGAAGCGAATTTCGTGCGTGAGCCTTACGTGGATGCGTGGGCAGAGAATTTCGCAGGAAGGGGCAGGTAGGTGATCCATCTCTCTTGACTGGCCACAGAAGCGGATGATCTCGTTGACATGGCGTCGAAGCCAGTCATAGGGATCGACCTGGGCACGTCCTTCTGCTGTGTGGCACTGTACCAAAATGGGACGGTGGAGACCGTTCCAAACGCTCAGGGCCTTCATACCACGCCGTCCTACGTAGCTTTCAATTAAAAACAACACTTCGTCGGTCAAGCGGCCGTGAGGTATGGGACGCGTATACCCAAGCAGTGCGTTTACGAGGTGAAGCGGCTGATGGGCAGGTCTGATTTTCATCCCATGGTCCAGAAGTACAAGACTATGTGGCCGTTCAAAGTGGTGGCGGGGGAACGAGACATGGCCGTTGTATGGTTCGAAAAAGGACCTGACGGCAAGCAAACGTTCTCACCCCCGGAAATTTCCTCCCTTCTTTGAAGGACATGAAAAGCATTGCCGAGAAGTTAGCTAATGACGTCATCGCGGATGCTGTGATAACTGTTCCCGCCCACTTCAGTGACAGTCGGAGGGAGGCCACGATGGAGGCAGGGCGTCAAGCAGGCCTGAACGTGCTGCAGCTGATGAATGAACCGACGGCGGCCGCCGTAGCGTACGTTTATGAAAAGAAAATAAATACGGAGTCTGCTGGAAAGAATATCATGGTGTTCGATCTGGGAGGAAACACGCTTGACGTCTTAATCATTACCCTCGATAGCGGCAGCCTACTTGTGCGCAAGGTGAAAGGCGACTCTGATCTGGGAGGTGTCGACTTCGACAGCAACCTCATCAGGTATGTCGCAGAGAAGCACAGGCTTAAGACGGGTTGCAATGTTCTCGGCGGGGAGAATGAGAAGATGTTTCCGCGATTGAGGGAGGCCATCGTTACGGCAAAGCACACTTTGTCTACCCAAGACGAGGCGGACATTGAGTTGTACATCAACGATGTAGATCTCAACCAGTCCATACTCCGATCAGAGTTCGAACGGGTCAATGAGGAGCTCTTCCAAAAGTGCATGTTTAGGGTTGAGATAGCACTTCGAGGAGCCAAGATGACTAGTCAGGACATCTCCGAAGTGATTTTAGCCGGAGGATCAACGCGGATAAAAAGAGTCCACGAGCTACTCCAGCAATTCTTTGGCAGGGCTCCGTTATCAGTTGTTCATCCGGATGAAGTGGTGGCACATGGTGCGGCCGTGCAGGCAGCTTTTCTATCTAAACTTGTTATTGAAAAGCATAAGCCTAAGGTGCCCGTGTGCAACGTGAATCCGAAAAGCATCGGAGTGATGAGAAGTCTCGGGGAAATGAGTGTTTTGATCCCCAAGAACAGTCCTCTTCCGGCAAAAGGGGAGCTCGAGGTTGAGTGCGCCTACGATTACGCAGGGGGTTGTGCGGGGTGGGGGGGCCCTTTGGGCAGTGTGGGGAGCGGCGGCGGTGCTTGGGGGGGTTGTGGGCAGTGTGGGGAGCGGCGGCGCTGCTTGGGGGGGGAGCTTTGGGCCAATACCCCAGACGAAACGTAAAAAAAAAAAGAAAAAAAAAAAAGAATTTGCGTGAATTTGTGTGTCTGTGTTTGTGTGAATGTGTGTGTGTGTGTGTGTGTGAATGTTGCTTTTTTTTTTTCCGGGGGTGTGGGGAAACCCCCTAACACGGCTCAGAAGACCCATGCAAGCTCTCTGAAGGGTCCTCGCAGCCATGTGGCGCAGAACCCCCCACCAAAATTGAGGCAGGTAGTGAGTATGAGGTATTGCACCAGCTGGCCGAATATATAGTCAGGATTCAAGTTCAGGTCTGTGTTTCARCAGTTATGGGTTGGTCACGTAGCTACAAYRKAAAAWTTTCCYAKAATTAAATAWTCATTCTATAGTAAAATTACAATATAAATTTYAAATTTTCATTCCATCTTAAAAAATATCATTCYAATTWWAAAAATTTTCATCTTACTTGCAAACTTTCATTCCAAGAATAGGGTATCCCTTCTTATTTGGACTGCATGCTAGAGATGGAATAAAATTCTGGATTAATTCATGAAATATTTTAWTTGGACTGTCATTCTAAGTAAGGATTTTCAGTCATAAATAGGTAAATCCAACCTAAATTAGAATATATTTCTTGTTTTAGAATGAAAATTTAACTAAAACATTTCATAAACTGGTCCAGACTCTCATTCCATCTTTAACAAATAGAGRTAGTTGGAAGAGAAAGCTCATATTTAGACGGGAACTTATCAAATAAAACTTGAAATTTTAGAATTGGACGAACATTGGGATGATAATTTGTAAATATGACGGATTTKTTTTTTTTACGGAATGTTTTTTCAACTTTCATTTATCGTGGAAATTTTTATGTTGTAGGGTTGGTCTCTGCACGTGATTCTCAGGGCTTGGCTGCACTACTCACAAAATGTGCAAAGCTAGAATGAATCTTCTCCAGAACATGGAATAATACGCCGCCATATGTTTTGTCTTTTGTGCATGTGCTGAGTAGAGGCCCTTAGGACCA